TATATATATATACGATTAGTCCTGCCTGCTCCGTAAGTAGTCATCAACACCCCGGAACTGTCAGACGAGTACGGGCGTCCCTAACGAAGGGTTGTTGGCCTGTAAGAAGGGACGCACCTAAAATCGAGGGAGGGGTCTTTTTAATACTACTTAATCGCGTTTACGCCGTACGTCTTCCGTCAAAGGCTCGAATATTCACGGCAAAGTGCTTCAGAGTCCCCTTGAGGGTCTAATGTAATAAACGGATGGACAAGCGGTCGATCAGCCTTCCTTGATTGGATATTGATCAGCTGTTCGGGGAACGTCGCTCACTCGAGCGAAAAAGAAGCAAGGAGAAGTGTTGCAGCGTATTTTTACACGGAGCTCGCCGTCTGGAGTTGCTACGATTTTCCTTTTTAAATAACTCCCTTTTTCTCTCCCTCCGTCTGACATTCCCTCTCCTGCTTTCTCTGGAAAAGTTCACAGGTCACGGATAAGGGCGTCGCCTTGCGCAGAAAAGGCGATATGTTGATTGCGCCTTTCATGCCTTGCACTTTCGGCGAAAGATACGTTTAAACGCGCCGCGTCTTACATAACTCGGCCTTTCAACTTTCAAAAGCGTCTACAAATCATCCCAATTTCCACATAGATGGAATTACAAATCTCTATAATTCTTTGAGGAGTCTAAAAACGCAGGTAACAATTTTAAATGTCGCTGCACTTTTCACGATATATGTAGTACACAGAAAGTAATAAACGTACCTTGAGATAATGTGTAGAGATCCATATTTAGCAGATAAATAGACGAAGAAATTATCTATACCCCGTGCTATGTACAAAAAGATCAAATTTGCAATATCGATAACACAATCGATACGTGATAAAAAGCCAGGCGGGCGCACAAGTTGCTGCGGGTAATTATAGCGTTGTCGAGAAACGCTTCGTTACGTTAGTTAGTATCAAGACGGATCCTCTTTTGCTCGCAGCGAACAAAAAGCAGTTTGCATACTCAAGCAAGTACGCCAAGATACTCGCGAAGCGTTAATACAACAAAAGGGCAAGTAAACGGCGCGCCAGCCTCTCTTGGTGGGAGGATTGATTTTTGAAGAGAGGAAATAAACTACGTAAGCGAATATATTACGAGATATTTTTACTATCTTTTATCCCCCACGTTGATAAACGTGTATATTTCATAATGAAAGAAATCATATAATATATAATTTTGAAAAAAAAGAAACATCTAACAGGACTCGGTGGCGCAGCTTCGTGGAGGCCCCTATGCTCCTAACGGAGTGAAAGGATCTGATATTTTTAATTATTGAACCAACCTGTTTAAGATGATAACGAGAGAAATTTTTAGACAAGAAACGCTTCGCTCTCTGTTCATTTCTGTCTGCCTGTTTTTCTACGAGCGATAAATACTTTATGCTCGGATCTTTCTCATTTCTCTTGAAAAGCCCATGTTTAATTAATTGAAATATAACGACACTAGTGCGCGCATAACAGACGTGAAAGGAAAACTGTGTACAAAAACAACGGAGAAGTAATTATTTACATGTTCGAATCTCGCCGACAATTGACATTTGATCGCTCTTCGCATGCGAACGTAATTCTTTCTCAGTTAACTAATTCTTCTGTTTAGTGATTGGCGCGGATAACGAAGCGATTGATATTTGGTCATACAGGTGTGTATTTCGCGCGATCTATTCGCTCGTGGGAATCGAACGCGACGGGAGTGCCGGACTTTGATCGCGTACTTTCACACGACCCGTGATTTCAATTGATCGTTCATTTAAAATAGAGTCTCGGGAATAGTTAATATATTGGTAGTGTAGTAAGTACCGTGTATTTATACCAACTTCCAAAAGAGACAGCTCGTGCCACTAAAACACTGATCGGCAGTCTAGATTTCTCCTTTGAATGAATTAAATGTTAACGAATTTTGCATAAATATGTATCCCGAGTCGAAATTTTGGTACTATTGTGACACTTTTAAGGATAATTTACACCTACTTAGCTTATCTATACACCTACATAGACCAACAATAACCTACTTTGATAACATTATACCTTTTTACTCCTCCCTTGAATCTTTAATTCTAAAAATGTACTTTAGCTCCTACTTAAAAGGACCTACTTTAATGCTAAATTGGCAAAAGTAGAAATTTCCGGCACTATGAGTTTCAAAGTAGGAGTAAATTTTGTACTTGCAGTTCGACCTCTTTTACTGTCTTAGGTCCTACTATATAATAGATTTAAAGGTTCGACATAGGGCCAAAATTTCAACTCGTAAATAATTCAGGATAAGAAATAAAAATTATCATTTATACGTATGTAAATATATACAGGGTGGTCTAAAAGTCCCGGAACGGTTGAATATCCCGAGAAATTGTGGGTGGATCGGAAAACGGAAAAATACGTATTTCCTATTTTTGAAAGAGCTATCGAATGATACCAAAATTGACCCCCACCCCCACCTCTGTGGGTGGGGCGGGAGACAACTTTAAAATCTAAAATGGGAACCCCCACTTTTTATAACAGATTCGCATTTCACGTTAAAAAGTACGTAAGTTTTGTCTGAAACATTTTTTTATTTGCTTAATACTTTTTGAGATATTCAAGAGAAAATTTATAACTTTTTCAATGTTTAGCTTATGATATCTCGTTAACTACTTGTCAGAGGGAAAAGTAGTACAGGACTTTTTTACCTGATTTGATCTCAGAAATATGCTGTTGCAATAGTGCTCCAATTATGGAAAATTTTTGTGTATTGTACCATCTACCAAATTTACATACATAAAAATTTTCAATAATTAGAGCACTA